TTTTTTTATGTTTAACGTTCTTTTTTTTTAGATACAAGTATTTAAGTAAATGCTCTGTTTATAATAAACAGTATTAAATAACATTTACTGGCCTGAATGTCGAGAAATTTTCATAGAAAATATTCGTTCTTTGACAGGATTTGAACCTGCATCCTATACTGGAACCATCATTTATGCTGACGTGCCTTGCACCGACGGGCCACAAAGAAGCGTTCGGTAGGCAAGGTCGAATTTACTGCTTATAAACTTCAATCTTCCATGAATCTCGTACATTCATAACTGCTCTGGCGTATCAAATATAAACAAATGACGTCATATATTAAGAAATGGACAAAGTCTGACAATTTATTTATTAAAGACATTTTTTTTTATGTTTAACGTTCTTTTTATAGATACAAGTATTTAAGTAAATGCTCTGTTTATAATAAACAGTATTAAATAACATTTACCGGCCTGAATGTCCGAGAAATTTTCATAGAAAATATTCGTTCTTTGACAGGATTCGAACCTGCATCCTATACGGAACCGTCATTTACGCTGATGTGCCTTACCGATCGGCTACAAAGATTGAGCTATGGTTGGGTAGGTGTAACGTAAGTTGTCTAGATAGGCAGGTTTTAAAATTTTTTTAAGAGATACTGTATTTTCCTGCTTACAAGATGCTGCAGCTTGGAAGATGCACCCTAATATTGGGAAGAAATTTCTAAGAAAAAAAGTAATTCTCATACTGGTGCCACGTATTTGTTACATTAATCACTTGTCCAATTTTGTTTGTATGGCAATGACAAAGTATTCAAGAGCAAAAAGACTCCAGCCACTGCTCGTAAACAGAGCATATTTAAGCTTGTTGCTTGGCTTCAGGAAGGTTTATAGTCTTGGAAATACGTGTAACAGCTAAATGCCGAGGTTACATCATATAAAAGATTGAATTAGATAGATAGCTAACATTATAGTGTAATGACTCAACATACAAATCAACGTCCCTATCAGTCAAGCCAATTAGATGACCGTCCAAGCTTACTTGAGCTTGAGCATTGCCTTACATATATCTTGGAAGATGCACATGCATTTTTCAGGGTATTTTTTAGGAATAAAGTGTGACTTGTAAGTCGGAAAATATGGTAATTAATTTAATTTTCTTGTTCAGGTTAACTGGGGTTGTGTATTTCTTTATGAAATTTCTAAGAGAAAATTTGTCTTGCTTATAACTGACATGTATTTGGCTTTTGCAGAAGATGTTTATGTTATTGTTTTTAACTGTATGTTATGAATCATTATTAATTACTTTAGAAAGAAACTGCTAACCGTAACATCAAAAATAACAAGACACCCACAAAATCAAAACTACAAAGAACCAACATAATTTATTAATTGTGTTCCTGATCAAACTAAACTCATAAATAATTACATTGGTTAGACTACTACATGCCTATCTAGACAACATATGTTACACCCACCCGACCATGTGGAGGAAGAATGTCCTTCTGTATGGATGGAAGGACAGATTTGGCAGAAAAGACTACATGAGTGTTAGCAGCAAAGTAACAATATCAAACCACTAAGGAAACTCACTTGACATATCTATCATTGATATTAAAAAGCAAAGAAAGAAATACACAGATACACAGGACATCTTTATACTAGTATATATATATATATATATATATAATGAATCAATAAAGGTTCAATGAAAATATCTTATTGACCAAGTTGAGAGTTTTCTTCTGTAGGGTCATTCATCAGGTTCAGATTGATAGATTTTGACTTATTTATGCAAAACTATGGAATTGATCAAATAAGAGAAGTTCATTGAACATTTAATGATTTATTGAATTATTCTATTTTTGCTCGAGTTACTTATTGAGCAGGTTTCAGTAAAAATTATACTGGCCTTAAATTATATTAAATTATACTGGCCTTAAATTATATTAAATTCTACTCACTTTTATGTATTTTGCTAGGTATCTTTCAGTTTTGTGTATATATATGTGAAAAAAATTCTAGACCTAATATAAAATATTGGAAAAACTTTAGACCTAAGATAAAATATATGAACAATTCTAGACCTAAGATAAAATATCTGAAAATTTCTCGACCTAATATAAAATATCTGAAAATCTCTAGACCTAATATAAAATATCTGAAAAATCCTAGACCTAATATAAAATATCTGAAAAATCCTAGACCTAATACAAAATATCTGAAAAATCCTAGACCTGATATAAAATATCTGAAAAATCCTAGACCTGATATAAAATATCTGAAAAATTCTAAACCTGATATAAAATATCTGAAAAATTTTAGACCTGATATAAAATATCTGAAAAGTCCTAGACCTGATTGTTATGGTCCGGTTCCTTGTACCACGGTGATAGTCCAAGGTAGAACCAATAAAGAAGAACTCAAACACGTATATGGAATAACACAGATATATTACAAACAAGAATATATACAGAGAAGTAGAAAGTGTTAGTACAAACAATCAGGTTTAGTAGTAATTGTCTGAACGTGACTCTGTTTCGCACTGCCTCTGACTCAACTGACTGACTCGCTTGCTCTAACTGACTGACTGACAGACAGACTCCTGACAGACCTCACTCCAGACTTTAGACTGAACTCCCTGCTTCCTCTTGAGGTGCAGTATTTATTATGTATGGAATAGTCCATTATGTTATTATGGGTAAGGTCCCATAACACTGATATAAAATATCTGAGAAATCCTAGACCTGATATAAAATGTCTGAAAAATTCTAGACCTGATATAAAATATCTGAAAAATTCTAGACCTGATATAAAATATCTGAAAAATCCTAGACCTAATATAAAATATCTGAAAAATTCTAAAACTAATCCACTTCTAAAATCTAACCAAACATCAGATTTTAGTGGATAATGTTTATAAAGGTTTATTTAAATAAATAAAAGACAAAAGAAAACATGTTTCCTTTTTACCAACACGTTTCATCCCTTGAGAAATTTTATCAAGCTGAAAATTTTATTTTGTAATTTATACACAAGTAAGTTTTCAATATATTTATGCACTGAAATAAGTTTATCCTTAAGTTTTAAAGTTTTTAATTTAAAATATTGTTAAATTTTTAATTAAAAATATTCTGTAAAATATTGTTAAAGCTTACTCTGTAAGGAAAAATAAACTGTGGAGTGTGATTGTCTAATAAATAAAATCAGTAAATGTTGCTCTTTAATTTTTATTTATTTATTTTTTAATCTAATTATTATTTATATATTTATTTCTATGTATTATATTTTATTTTGTTTAATTATTTATCTATCAGTTTATTTTAAATATTTAACATTCTTGAGTTAATTGTTTTCTTTTAATTTTTAAAATTTTTTATGATCATTTAAGTTGGATTGAGAAAAGAGTATTTCTTTTAGGAAAGGAGATCTTTTAAAAAATTCAGTGTGTAAGTTAACATTTAGGCAAGAATTGATAATTTTACTCACAAGAACTTTTTGTCTAAGTTTGTTATTTTCTCTTTTAATAAGTATGGCATTCTTGAGATTGAAGTTGTGGTTGAACTTATTTCTATGTATAGCTAATTCATTATCTTGGGCAAAGAGGACTAGTAGATCCCTCACGAGGTCAAACCCTAACCAGTCCCCCAACTTTAAGACCTACCCAGAGATGCTGTATTATCACTGCTCTGACTGCAGACATAGTTACAGAGTCTAATTTATGTGAGAAGGTCATTGATGCTACAAGAAAGTTTATGTGCCATTTGTTTTTAATCTTGTTAGTTGTCTAGCAACCCCACTCACCAGAAAAGCCTGGTGGTGTAACTGGTTTAGTTGCTGATTACCTAATCATGCAACAGGAAGTACAGGCTTACATGGTACTAGTGAACCTTATAGAATAACATTGCTTAGTTATTCCAATATAGGCATTTTTTTTTTGCTTTGAAAGTGGTAACCATCTTGGCATTTAGATCACAACCTGCAAGTAAAGGGAGGTAAATAATGCTGAGATTTTTTCAAAATCTAATATTGTAATATTATGACATTCTTAATATGATACAAACAATTATCAAAATATTTAAACTTATTGAACTGCTTTAATTGTGATAGTATCATTTGACTGCATCTTTCAAGCAAAAAAAAATGGTTGCATAATATAAAAGAAGGAGACTTAGCCTATATAATGTTGGATATCATTGGTAGCATGACTATTTCTCTTTCTTTTGTTTCTGTGTCTATAACAATAAACATACCGGATAGTTATTAATTAACAACATTCTCTCTTTACTAAGTAATGAGAAAAATCTTTGATATGGTAACATGACACATTCTTTTCACCTCTTAGCAAGCAAGCATCATGTTACCATAATGATGGAACTCAAAAATTAAGAGAAAATCATAAAAATTTTATTATGACCAAACAAGGCATATTTGGCATCACTTGAATTGAGCGAGCTTCATCTAACTATAACAACATGTAAATATGTTATTTAGTTTCCATTCTAAAATTACATCTAAAAGAATTTTGATATATCTGTGAATCTTTTCACAGTTAAGAAATTAGGTAAAATAAATGTGGTTCTATAGAAGGATCCTAAGAAGATCATAAACTGAACATGTGAGTAATGAGGAAATTTTAAGGATGTTTATACTTAGAATTAAAAGACACAATTGAAGTTTCTAGGGAATATAATGAGGAATGAGGGCTTGGAGAATTAGATACTCACAGGACATATTGAAGGGAAAAGAACAGAAGGTAACAGACTGGAAGTGATGGGGAAAGGAAAAACATTTCTAAGATCTAGAGCCATGGTTGCTCACATTCGGAAGGGACATGACACAGAAGAATAAGAAGAAAAACAATGTTTTATGTTTAAATCTATTTTTCTTTTTCATTGTAGCAAAACTTTAGTTTTTTGGTTGAAAGACTGAGTTACAAACATCACTCAGTTATCTGTAGCTGGAGTCGATAAGTTTATTCAGTTTGATTCAGGTATGATGTTAAAATAGATTAGGTAGGT